AAATGTCCGATTTCAATTTTGTCACTGACGGAACCATATGTGGCTTTTCACAAAATTGTGATGGCCCACCACATTCTCAGGGACATCTTGAGACTCTCTAATGGGAGCCAGACCTACAACCTTGAAGCATTTCACAGCATGCTTATCCACATCACTCCGAAGTCTTTGCTTTTCAGCTATAATGGTATGATTGCACAGTAAGTTGCAAAGCTCACTGGTATGATGGCAAACTCTGATTATGTCTCATATCTGAGCACATATCAGAACCTGCGTGGCTATTAGGCATTATAATGCCAATGCGCCGTCTGGAAGCAAGCAAGAACCAGGGACAAGGAGCTTCGGTACAGCCTAAGGTTTCCTAAGGCAACTAAGGGCGGTCTGTTCATTCAGTGACAGAGCCACCCTCCTCTGGTAAGTGAAAACTTGGCCAGCAGCAGCTAGGTTCCACTGCGTTGCAACGGCCCTTATTTCCTCCTTGTGCAGCGCAGCTAATAGGCCAGACAAAAAAGCCACCATCAGAGCCCACGTCTCAAGGTTCTGGCAATAGGAGTACTGGAAGACTATGTGGCTGAAGGGAAGTGCTTCCTTATCTTTGCCACCACGCAGCACGCAAGTTGCACCCTGTTGAATCTCCCCAATCTCTTCCACACCCACCAGACAAACTTCCAGTAGGTGACAAACCTGTAGGTTCTGTAATGCCAAAAAGGAGTTGAAAGATATTAGCAGTGATTAATGTTTTGCGAAAAAGGTAAAAGATGTGAATCCTTTGAAAAAGGCAAGAAATTCGAGGCGAAAGATGCGACTAAAACAAAGCTGCTAAAAGACCTCGACTTTGCTTTCAAGCTTGGTTCAAAAAGTTGTCATTCTGACAGGACAGATGGATGTTCTGACGTCCAGACTTGAGGACCACTTAGACCCTATTTCTGGGCTACCTGTGTGAGACGTACAGTCTCCGGCGTTATGAAAGACCCACTGGGAGCGCGTGGCCGAGGCGCTGGCTGGTGGGGGCGCTGCGAGCGCTCCGGGCAGTTCCATTCTGCTTCGAGGGGAGGACGCTCATTCGGCACTCGGCACAAACTGATAAGCGCGTTTCGCTTTATCTGAGCCCGAGTGAGCGTCCTCCCCTCGAAGCAGAATGGAATTGCCCGGAGGGCTCGCAGCGCCCCCGCCAGCCACCGCCTCGGCCACGCGCTCCCAGTGGGTCTTTCATATTGCCGGAGAGTGTACATTGACAACATGAAGACCAACGGGTCCTCTCTCGATGCGAGAAAGGTGCTCAAGATTTATTACCACGCTAGTAGATCAAATCAGAAAGTGACTTTCTGACAAAGTCGTAGTTCTCAAGAAGGCACCAGTTTTATCAGTCCCAACAACTTTGTGCATACGGAAGAGCATACGGAATAGAGCATCACTTTCATGTACAGAGAAAAAATATCTTCAATACACCGTAAGAAAAATTCAATGAGTGGAGGGTTGTCTGTGTATGCTGAAAAAAGCGATGCAGAAACTTCATTGCGACGTCGCCGGTGGAAGAAGCCTCAACTTCATCACCGCTAAACTCCACTGGAGAGCCAACCTTATCATGACGTCGGTCAACAGAAACAATTAAGTTGAAACTTCATTGAGAATTCTTTCAAAAACTGTCCTTAGAGGGAACTTTGAAACACTGCAGTGAAGGGAATTGTAAAAAATATTATTTTTAAGTTGGAAACACATTGTACCTGTTTCAATTGAAATAGAATAACATAAGCTGAATTCTGCATCCACCAATTATGTATTTAACTTGAGTGACAATGGTAACTTTTCCCATGGATTGCAGCCGTTTGTGAAGATCGGGGTCTTGACAACGTTGGAAAATCTGGATTCTGGAGTTTGTTTTTGACAAGACCTCGCGGTTTTTAATCGACCCCAGCATTTGGTAGTTTAAAGTCTCTGACTACGGTTCAGAGGTTCAGACTCAGAACCACGGCCATCGCCGACAACGCCGCTAAGAAAAGGCTCAGGGCCCGTGTCTCTGTGAGGCAGTTCGCCCTACTCCTCTACTATCTGTTGGCGAACCCAGTCCTTGTGAGGGCCACCACAGATAGTCCACTATCTGAGGAAGACCGAACTGCCCTGTGGCACATCACTGTCCAAGAGCTAAATGTCGAGGGCCCATCTGTTAAAAGCCAGGCCGAATGGAAGGAGTCCTGGAATGCACGTGTGCGCGCAGCAGTGGGGGTGCCAACCCCGTCCCTCCGTTAAACGCCGAAGAGGAAAGAATATTGTCCCTTGTGGGGACGGATTCCTCCCGAGGCCGTGGGGGAAGGCGCCTGGCACCGGTGGCACCTCGCCCAACGCCACAGCCTGGCCCATCGGCTGCAGCCACGCTAAGTACTTGGAATCGCAGGTGTAGCTGAGGCACCAGTGTCTGACCTCGTGGTGTGGGAATTGTGAACAGAAAATGCAGCATGTGTTGTTAGGGCTGTCAGAAATGCCACAGTTCATCCTGACAACTGTACAGTAATGACTGGATATACTGTACAGAACATCGACTCATAACTGTGGAAAAACACACCAGTTGATGTAATGTTTTTCTGACTCGATAAACATTGACGATCAGGTCAGTTGCTCGTTCAATCTTTAAAAAAAACTACTGCAAAGACATGGGCTAAAACCAAGAGCATTGACAACATGATAACACCAGTTTAACCAAATATACAGGACTCCCCAGCAGAAGCAGCAGAAGACAGCGAGGCCAAGGACGCGCCAGATGCAGCATTGCCTGTGGAGGTGGCAGGTTCACCGCAACAAGATGGTATGAGGAAACACAAAATTACATATCTTGAATCACATGAAAATGTGCTTTGTGTTGGCAGTACACCAGCTGCCATGCACCCTGCCTCCTCGTTCCGTACGACCACGGCCTGGGCAAGCATGCATGGCCAGGGACCTGCTGGCCACACAGCAGCAGCAGCTGGCTGCTTAGCTTCAGCTGCTGGCTGCACAGCACCACATCCGTGCAGCACTAGAAGAAATCCTGCAGTTGCAAAGGGGTGCGACCGACGCATTCGCTCGCCTAACAAGTATTTTTTTTCTGTTCACAGAGCTAGGAAAATTTAACCTATGCCAAGCTCCTCATTTTCTGACAAAATGTTTGCAGGCAACAGGCATTTTTTAATCTAAGGTTTGTGATGGTATTGTTTTTGTCTATCCTTTCATTGTCGTTTTAAACTTGAGCTTCTCTGCATTTTGCTGAGCGATCAGTGAAAACCATGAGGACAACCTATTTCTGAAAAGAGGCCCAGCTGATAAGCACTGAACAGAGCAGTGCACTGTTAATATGAACAAGCAATCGAAAAATTTTCCTGTTTTTTTCTTAGAACCGAAAAGCTGTCATCAGTTACTATTGCTACGTAAACATCTTTGACAGAAATCTGTCTGGTTAGGAAAATGGTTAGAGTTTCAAATTTCAGTCAGTCTATTAAAGTTTAATAAAAATGAAATTCCCCGATATTTCAGGTCCATCTTGGTCACGGGTGACAGTGGGTTGGACGGAGGAGGGAGTCGCTTATGAAGGCCTGACTGCTGCGTCCAGGTTTTTCCACAAAGCTCTGAAACAAAGAAACTTAGGAGAGTGACCGACGACCTGTTAATGTCATTGTTTGATGTCTGCTAGAGCAGTGGTGGGAGTGTTCCTGGTGAAGCTGGGAGAGTCAAAGGCAGACGGGCCCAAACCTGCAGACACCCACCCGAGAACGAAGGAGACGAAGAGAAACCCGGCTAGTGTTGGCACTTAATGAGCCCAGCCAAGCTGCGTTTTGGCAGGCCCTCACCAGAACTACTGGCAAGTGGCCACCCAATACAAAGGGGACACCAGTAAATTCAAATCTGAATCCGACATCACTAGAAAGGAAGCGCTCCACTGCTGTACTATCCAGCTGCGTTTAAATTGACAAACTTAAATTGTTCGCTCTTTTTTTCCAAGCTGCTTACACAGTTTTGAGAATGTGAAACAAGATGCCTACCCACTGCTGCGTACAGCTCTGTAAGCGGTACGGATACGTGAACAAGTTCCGGACAAAAGGTTTGTATGTGTCACATTGTTTGAATGTTTAGTCATGCGACTTATTTAAACAATCTTTTAAGCTATGCACGTCGCTTGGTCAGTTTCTTGGTACTTTCAGTTTTTTTGTTTTTCTTCCGTAAAAAAGGTGCCCTTAGTGTGTTGCTACAAGGCGGCCGTTCAGCACGCCAACCACACAGGTAGTGATTTTACCGTAGTTCTGTCAATGTGTACAGACATTTTTATGAGCTTCGCGTGTCGCTGAGTTGCTTTTGTTACAGTTTGTGTTTGTGTCGGGCGCAGCACGCAGAGCGTGACGACCTGACCATGTCAGTGCATTTGGTGTGTCATTCAGCGACTGCTGTCAAACTTGCGTGTGACCTTCAGGAATGGTAACAGTGAGCCGCTGTGCGAACTACGTTAGGATCGTCACGTGGAATGTAAACTCCATTAGGCGCCTGCATTTTTATACAGTTCTATTATTATGGATATCCCTGTAGTGTTCACTGGTGCACAGCCTGCAATTCACGGTGTTAATGTGACGCAGGTGAAAAGTAACAAATGCACATGCTCACCTTGGTACTTCATTTGCAGATTTCCTATCACAAGTTCCCGACTGTAACACCAACTTCACACAAATGAAAGACATTTACAACCCCCTGTAACACCGCATTAGAGCTCAGCTCATGAGAAGGAGGAGGGGAGGGTACTGAGGAGAGGGTATACCCCTCCTCCCTCCCCATTACCCCCTCATCCTCCCTGCTACTCCTCCCCTCCCCTCATCCTTCAAGCTTCTCCTCCCCTCCTCCCCTCCTCCTCCTCCCCCCGCGTGTTGCATCATGGGAAATGTCCCATTATGCACCGCACGGGACCCTCGTGACGTCACACGTGACCTCACGAATCACGTCACGAGGGTCCCGTGCAGTGCAAATAAATCAAATAAATAAATCATGCACCGCGCAATTACGGCGACGGCGACGCCGCTCAAGCCGGAAATGGGCGCCTAAGAGCTGTGTCCTAAAAGAGATGTATTGCAGTCGTCAAGAGGGATGAAAGAGCATATTTCAGAGTACCCAAAACAACTAAAGCATGCTCTGAGCATGTTGTGGAAGCTGATTTCTGGAAAGGTCTGGCAAGTGGCCGGCAGCTTCAGGGGGACACGGCTGTGCCATCCGTCCTCGTCTTTTGGAGGGTGAAGCCCTCAAGAAAGGCACTTCTTCCGCGGTTACTGTGCACACTCTCTAGCATCCAACGGCCACAGAACGGGAGGAACACGGTTCATGAACACTGTGCGCAAGCAGATAAGAAAAATTTGGCACCCACCACGGGATGCTATCCCCGAACAACGGTCTGCACCTTCAAACACAAGTCACCAGAGCTGCAGGAGCAAGCTGCAGGAGCAAGCTGCAGGAGCAAGCTGCAAAACTGCAAATGCAGCAACACCATTGTAGCACTACAAGCATAGCTAGCCACAAGCAAGGTGAACAAATCGAGGCTTCAAAAAGAGCTGCACACTCAACAAGCCAAGAGCCATAACGAGGTAGGGCTGCAGTCTGAAACGGAGGCCGAACTTGCCAGAGGTTGGAAGCTAAGAGCAGAGCCTGAAGTACAACTTAACACAAGCAAGCTCACTGAAGTAAACTGGATGCAAAGATGTGGTGAATGGAAAGGGTTCAGAAAGATTGTTAGTAACTGAGTTTGATATAGATGCTTACAGTAGTGAAACTCATCATAAACATGCGTGGTTCAACAATGCTATTTCGATGGCCTGCAGGAACTGTACAAACGGCTTATGGAGACAGGGTGTGACTCCCGCTGGAGTCATGAGGCGGTTTCGAAGAGGAGGAAGCAACAGCAGCGACGACGCCAAAGCAGTGCGGGAGCTGTTCACACGGTACTTCGTCAACGAGGGACAAGTGAGCTGGCAGTGGTGGATGGTTGCCTAAGAAGGTACTAATTAAAGACAGTTTGCATGCTTTTACTACTCTATGAGGGTTGCACACAATATTTGTAGGAGCCCATAAATAACACACTTGGATGACATTTGTTATACCCGGTCTGGGTATTCAGTAAGGGGGGGGGGGAGGGTTTGTGGCAGCAGTAAGTCTGTTTGAGCAGAAAGTAAGCACACTATGCAAAGAACTGGACATACTACATGACAACCTTATCCTTGCTCAGTGCAACTTAGAAAAGCTTAAGGAAGAATCGGTCCCATTCGAAATTGAGAAATTCCGGGAAAGCGACAACAACATACTGTTCTACACGGATATGCTCATGAAAACCCTTGTAACGAAGGAGGATGTACATGAAAGTACGGAGAAAATCACTAAATTTGTTGTTATGACTCAGTGCCTCTACGTGTGCACACGTTGGTGCACATGCCAAAAAGTGTACTGCTTCATGGACCACTGTGGACACTCTCTTGCTTCGAGTTTGAGTCATATGGGACATTTACTGAAGTTGGTGACCTCAGCAAATGGCATCGCTTTTCAGACCTTGTCTCGTATTTTCCTCCAAAACAACTTTCGTCAGTTGCTCTCAATGGCCTCAGGAGAAGTGAGCAAGCACTGCTCTCAAAAGACAATGAAGAGAAACACAACACCAGAGCTCCTGGGCAGACCCAAACAAGCACCTCAAGATGTCACACACCTGCTGCAAGAGAACCTGGGGATTGTGGACAGTGTTGAAGAGTACAATCGTATGCAGGTGTGTGGTTGCGTCATTCACAGTGAGCAGTACATTAGCCCCCTGAAACGAGACTCGACAGCTGTGAAAGTTGGCAATGATTACGCAAAAGTGGAGCGAGTGGAGCTAGTGGGAAGTAGACTTCTCTCATTGACATACACACAAGGCCCGAAAATTGAAAATTAGAATGTTCCTTTCAATCTAAAAAAAGACAACTTTTATTGCCGGGCTTGAATGATGAGGCAGGGTTTCGCAGACCTCTATAGCACCTTTGCGGACCCTCATTTGACAACCACTGGTCTAGATTATTATGCTGTACACTGTACCATATTTAGGGTGTCTAGCAAGTTATTATTTTGAAATTCCCTGGCTTTTCCAGGTTTTCCCTGACAATTTCAGGTGAAATTCCCTGACCACTGTACAGGCGATGAAATATATAAGACCATTACAACACAAGGCATTGAGCATTGAGCACTGTGAGCATCATTTTGCATGGGCTTAATCTAACTTGCATATTCCGAAATATTCGGGTTCGTCCAGTCCGGTTTGAGCACTTCCTTGCCACCGACATCGTCATTGAAGAGGCCACTTCCGGAAACACAATGAACACACAATACTCAACCACACACATCAATAACCGAATGGCAGCATAGTGCATGGCCATGGCTTCCAGATGCACACTTTCAGATCCGTTCGGCTTAATGCTTGGATTGGATTGGGGTCTGCGGCTTTCCCATTTGTTACTAAATCTAGTAGCTCTAACTGGATCAAGCGCAATGTTGTCCCCCCAATCTAATCCAATCCAAAGCTTGGACTAGATTTGTCGGCTGTTCTCTTTGTATTGGGTAGCACACTCTACATTGGGTGAGCAGAGCCCGCGAACCGCTCTAGCAGAATTTAATGCCTATTTTTCTGCCCCCAAGTCCTCAAGTCTTTGCTCAGGGCACTCTATGGCGTTTCCGGCTCATTTTCCCTGACTAGGCTCACTTTTTGACAATATCCCCGACCATTCCCTGATTTTTCCCGGTAATTAAAATTTCCCTGACAATTCCCGGTTTTCCTGGTCGCTAGGCACACTAATATTATATCTGCAATCTTTTTAAAATTTTGCAATTCTGTTGCTCACCCACATGACCGAGCCTTATTTCTCTTTTCCGGTAACATTTTTAAATGCATTCCTTGTGTCCCATCTCTTGGTTTTTAGCTATATAACTTGCTTTTCCCACACCTAATACTTTTCATAAATAGAAATACTTTTTATTTTATCAGCAAGTAGTCATAATTTTAGCTAAGCCAAATCGCTTTGTGACTCAAGCTCACTTGGTGGTAATTTTGCAAAAAGTTGCAACAAGAAGCAAACTATCAAGCTCTCTATGGAAGCACTTCACAGTGTAAACTGTGAATAAAATGAATACAAGTTGCTTCCTTGCTGGGGCCATTTTTTGCTGTGGTATAGTGGTGGCGAGTCTCTGGCATGCATGGAAGCAACTTTCTGCACATGCAAGTCTAATGCATTGACGCTACTTCTGGGCCAATCTTTAGCACTTTTTAGCCAGAGCTAAGGTACTTGGAAGTTTTGCCCCTTGCAACTTAAATGGTAGCATTTGCCCTGAAGTGGTACAACTTATAGGCCCAAGTGGTACTATTTGCCCTGAAGTGGTACCACTTCCATGCCCAAGTGGCACCACTTGGCCTCAAGTGGTACCACTTACAGACCCAAGTGATACCACTTGCAGTCAAAGTGCTGCCACTTGCAGTCAAAGTGGTACCACTTTAAACTAAGTGATACCACTTGAAGTACCACTTTATATTCTCACTTGGGTAGGCACGCTGTCATTACATGTGCATGAGGACACAAGACTGTGTGGGAGAACCAGCCCCGAGTCAACAGCAAGGCACTCCTCAACATTCCGCTACCTGCTGCCATCACATACTCTGGTGCCAGTCCTACGCACATTCTTTGCCTTCTTCGTTCCATAAAAATGTAAGTCCTAAGAAAGACACTGTTCTTCCGGCTTCAGAGCTGTTTGGTGTTTCCTGCTGCTACAAAAGTGAGCAGAGCTGACAACAAAGATTTTCAGTTGACTAAACATGCCCAGTGATTGAGCCCGACATTGAGTTTTCTCCTTTCAAAGACCTGAGAAGCTGAACAGAAGTTCCTCCCGACAGCCAAGAAAGGCAGCAAGCTCCACCTGGTAGGCAATAGCCGTGCACTCACACCTGGCTACTCAGCAAAGTATGGGACATACACAATACTTCACGCCAGATTCAACAAGATCTCATAAGTCAAGGTTCTTCACATAAGGAGTGGCTAAATATAAAATTATGTCATTGCATTGCATGGATGAGGTGTGCATTTTACTGAATTTGTTCCTACCCTAATCGACAGAAGTAAAATAGAATAATCACATGGATACAGAAGGCATGAAGTGTTCCCTGGACTTCATCGTGAGCACGGGACTGTCTGTGTATAGCTTGTGACTAAACAGCACTTTAGGGTGAAGGCCCTGATGGACAGATACCCTGACACCAAGCACCGGTTTGACTCATGCCACATCGAAGAAACTAACAATATTTGAGAAATGAATTCCAATACCTGTTAAATTACTCAAAGTATAACCGAAGATGAAATTTGTTAATGTAAAGGTAGTGCAACATGCTTTGTTGTCAAGATACATGAGGCATTATTCCAACATCATCTTAGAGTATACTAAAGTTGATGATATTGTCCATGCTGGACCAAATGCGATTTTACTATAGCACCCTATTTTGACCGAATAATATGTCTACCTACATTGTCTTCCAGACTTGGCACGAGCTGAGCTAGTAATGCTTTCTAATTTCTAGGCATTTACAACGAGATGGCCACTGCAGGCAAGACGAAGAACAGTGTCTTGAACACATGGGTGAAGACCGTACATGGGCATGTCTGCTGGTGTGCCCAGACTAGCAATGACAATGGCATGCTGGTGCTTGCAAAATAGATGCCCGCCATGCAACACGTGATCAACGTTTACCAGCACCCTAGACCCCTTACCTCCCCTTGGACCCATACCCCAATCAAAAAGGACTGGTGGTTTCAGGAAGTAAAAAAGGATTTGTGTTTGGAGCATTCATAATATCCTTTCAACACCAATTGCCCGCTAGGTTTTCATATATGAACAAACTTCCTTTGGCTGTTCTGGCCAGTCTACAATCAAATACCCCAAGAAGGATACCATCTCATAGCCAGCTCGTGGAGACATTTCTATCAGATGATGAGGCCTAAAATATATCTTTTAGCCTTATAATTTGAGAAAACCTTTCTTCACTGTACAGGTCATGAAGACACATAATAAGGAAGCAAAAACTAACTTGTAACATAACAAAGGCATAAAAAAAATAAAATCCATTTTACTTTGTACCTAATATATTGGAGAATAACTTACCAACATCCAAGCTGTCTAAATTATTTAGTGAAGCTCATTCTCATTGCTAGGTAAACATGAGGAACCAAACAGCCAATGCTTTTCGTGTTCTTTTTCATTAAGTCATGAAACTATCACTTTGCACTTTCTACATAAAGCCGCTTGGATGACAAGCTATTAACATGATTACAAAATGGAGAACCTAGATGTAGCTCAATTTAGAACTGAACTGACAAGCCAAAATTTCTCTTTGCAAACAAGAAGCCTACTCCCTTGACGCCACTTGCGGGCATCACATTCCAGAAGTACCTCATCAACAGGCCGGTGAAGGAGAAGAGATGGCGCTCCTTTGAACCCTGCGAGAATGTTGGCGTTGCTTTGGCTGAAGAGATCTAGCAACTTCGGGATGCTCTCAGTGTCGCTACACAGGGCCTCCAGTGGCTCCTGTACAGTGGGTGCGCAGCAACTCGGACCAGCGACTCCAGTGCTCCCCATTCAAGACGATGAAGATTTGTGGAGTAATTGAAAAACACAGAGTCCCTCTTCAGATTGACGAACAAAGAGAGGGAAGAAGTGACCCAGTTTACCATCGGTCAAGCCAACAATGGAAGGTGGCACGAAGAGCGGCAGGGCAGAATTACAGCGTCGGTGTTCTTTGCTGTCATCAACTGCGTCAAGCCCGAGCACCTGGTGAAGGACATTTTGTACCCGAGTCCAGATGCCTCAAGTGAGGCCATGTGCAATTGGAGGACACATGAGGGCACCGCCGTTGCTGCCTACACATCACTTATAGCAGCATTCGACACTCCTGTCGAGATCCTCGAGACTGGGCTGCACATTCGCCCAAAGTGCAGCTTCATCGCTGCATCGCCAGACCGCATCATGGTAAAGGAGGACAATGAAGGGGGTCTTTTGGAGGTGAAGTGTCCATCGTAGAAGATTGGCTAACACCAATAAAGGACTTTAAGGACAAAAAGTTTTGCTGCAAGGTCGTGGATGGTTTGGTACGCCTTAAGAAAACTCACACCTACTTCTACCAGGTGCAAGGGCAGATGGCGGTGACCGGACACGAGTGGTGCGATTTTGTTCTCTGGACGAATAACAAGACTGTTGCCAACTCAACACGCATTGAGACCATCACCTTCGACAAGGAGTTTGTTGATCGAGTGCTGCTGCCAGAGCTCATCTATTTCGCCAAGCATGCCCTCCTCCCGAAAGTAGCAACCGGTCATGTAAGGCACTGAAGAGCCCTCATAGCTCGCAGCAAGTATGTCTCCTTCAAGCAGTACTGCACAGGGTTTTATGTGGTGGAGGACGGTCCCAGACTGAAAACAAAACTGCGTAGGCTGGAGTAAAGAAACACCTGCATGAAGCCTCAGGCTTCTCCAAGTGACAACGGCTCTTTTCAGAGCCAAATAAACATGCTTATTGAGAGCCACGTTTTTGTAGAGATTCCCGTGTCTTGGAAAATGGTATTTACTCGAGAAAAACAAAACACAGCGTGTGGTAGTTAAGTTTGTAAAGTTTATTACGATAAAAAGAAAGCCCCCCTTGCCTATAACTCCACCAAATAAGTCCGTCAAAAATTACCGTGGTCCATTTCACCAACAGCAAAAAGAGTGACATTCCTGTCTACACACTGGCCAGTCCCCCACTTGCTGTCTTGAATTCAGTCAATATTCTGGGTGTCACACTCGCAAGCAATCTGGACTTTTCTGCCCATATTTTGAGTGTCGTCTCCAGGATCTGACGGACGCTGGGTATAAAGCACGTGGCCAAATTATGCAGGCCAATAGTGCTGCGGATGCTTTACACAGCACTTGTGCTCCCCACTATGGCAATCCTCGGCAATCTAGTCCCCAGACCAACAGCGCCACTGCGAGTGCCTCGAGAGTGTGCAGCACTGTGCTACGTGCATCATCTGTGGCCAGTCATCCATCACCTTCGCCAGCTCGTATGGCACACGTCTCGGAGCCCTTAGTGGTGACCCTTGTTGAGAGGCTACGTACGTCGCGGGTATGCAGGCCTTGTCGGGTGTTCGATGGGCCGCCTTCGGGAACCCCCTTGTCTTCTGCAGTGCGGGCGAGTAAAACTGGGCAACCCGAGTAGCTCCGCGGCAGAACCATCCGCCATAGTGAACCCATGAAGCTGACAGAGACTTCCTAACTATTCTCTTACCCACCTCAAGCCCCCTGCCAACTTCAAACAAGGAGTCTCAAGAACTTTGCGTTTTCTTTTCCCTTTGAGTGGCATCGAGATCCTCTTGTGTTCTTTTGCTCTTGCTTCTCTCGTGTGTGATCTTTTTTTCGTCAATAGTGTATGTGGCAGTTGACTAGCAGGCGCATATGCATAAGGGTTGTATCCTTTCTGCTTAGCCACGTACATTGCCATCTGTGGAAATCAATTATAATTACAATTACAATAAAGTTTTGCTCTGGCATCACCACAGCAAAACTTTGGGTGGGCGTTCTTTCGTAACTTTATGGTAAAATTATAAAATATTTGTTTTATTGAATTATTCAAAGATGTGTGAATGTTTTTAAAGCAAAAATTGAAAGAACTTTGTGCAAAAGTTATTACGTGGCAATTTGTGAAAAAGGTAAAAAACCACGGAAGCATATTACTAAATGCACACCCATGCAGTGGAATATGCTGTCAACTAGCGGCATTGGACAGAAGTCGAGCTTGGGTCATTAATACCAAACTTGACGTCACCTTCGACGCAAAGCAAGAGCGCAGCTACGTGACTGCAGGCCTCGCTGAGCCTGTAGGCACAAAATGATTTTAAATGGGAGGGGCCGTGTTGCTGCGATCAGAAAGCAATCAAAATGAAAGGAAAAAACAAGCTACTCACTCTGCCATGCAAGTGCTGTGGACACTTAGGACTGTGCCCTCTTTTTTGACCATGGCCCAAGGCTGGTGGTACCCTCCGAAGGTTTGACTAGCTTCCACTTTCATGGTGACGAGAATGATGCCTGTGCTCCCTGTCGTAGCCCCAAATAAGCAAACAGCATGAACCCTACCACTCAAAAACAGGTTGCAACTGTCTTCAAGCATGTAACTCTTGAAGACGGTTGCAATCTATATCTACATGTAACTCTTGAAGGCAGTTGCATCTATATCTACCTCGTGGAGGGGTCCAAGCATGGACCCCTCCACAAGGTAGATATAGATGTTGCCAATTTCTAGTCCCGGCCACTGGCGAGCATCTATGGTGAAGACGTGTTTCTGAATAGCAGCATCTAATGGATCTCGAAGCTCCTGGCCTGCGATTGTCAGCTTTTGCCGGTAGCATTTGTCGCCGGTTCTTTCAACTAGGTAAGAAGAGGACATTTTGTTGGAGTAAAGTCGTGAAATTCTGATTGATACGTCGCTTGTACAACACGGTAAAACAGTAACGACCGAGCAATTCACACGCCTCGTTGCGAAGATGGTAGTGTTTTCAACGTGCCAGCAGGGCCAGAAATATTGAACCAGATGTCATGAGAGGTCTGTCAACAGGAAGCCAGAGGTTGATTGCACAACTGTTTTGTTTCCTGTCCTTGTAGTTTGGCAGAAATACTTGTTACGAATTGGTGACACGACAGGATGCTATAAATCAATATTAAAACCTGTTTTGTTTGCTTGATCTCAAGAGTGAATTTTAAAACACGCGCTCTTAGGCACCTGTTTCCGGGTTGAGCAGCGTCGCAGTCAGCGTCGACGTAACCGTGCATTGCATTATAGGACGTTCCCCGCTAAAGGTAGCAAGGAAATTTTTTCTGCTGAATTTAGAAGGAAAATTTTACTACTAAATTTAGAGGGAAAAATTTTCCGCTTAAAATTTAGCGGGAAAGTTTTCCCACTAAATGCAGCAGGAAAATTTTTTCCTAAATTTAGCAAGGTAATTTCTCCACTAAATTTAGTGGGGAAAATTTCCCACTAAATTTAGCAGGCAAATTTTCCCACTAAATTTAGCAGGCAAATTTTCTTGCTAAATTTAGTAGGGAAATTTTTCTGCTGAATTCAGTGGGGAAATTTTGCCACCAAATTTAGTGGGAAAATTTTCGCGCTGCTAAATTTAGCGGGGAAATTAACGTCACATGACCTCCAAGGCCAATTCAATTTCCCCGATAAATTTCCTGCTAAATTTAGCGTTAAAATTGCGATAAATTTCCTGCTAAACTAAGTGGGAATATTTCTCTGCTAAATTTATTGGGAAAATTTTCGCTAAATTTGGAGGGAAATTAAACGAAAATTTCACGCTAAATGGGAGAGCAGGAGAGGAGAAAGGGAGGGTATGGAGGTGGAGGAGAGCATACCTTCCCCTCCTCCTCCTCAATAGCTGCGCTCTAATTCGGCATTATAGAGAACTGTAAACGTCTTTCATGTTTTGTAAACTATTGCTGGCATTGTGCTGAGGCTTGAGCCATAAGGACCTGGAGGTAGCCATGTCATCAAAGATTGGGATTCGGGTGATTCAGAAACCATGCGAACCACAGCACAAGTGGCCCAGGGCACCAGCACAACTGGCTGAATAAACAGCTCAGCCTTCAAAAAGATTGCAGTGCTGTTCTTGCAAGATGCTGCATTCAAAGAAATTTATTTGGCATTTAAATTCGGTAAAGCAGGCATGAGTAGACTGGGATTGCACCAGGACACACTGGACTGGGATTTTATGGCCATCTTTCAGGCACAATGCCGACGCTGCCCTTTCGTGTAATGGGATCGACATATAAGGCTTTCGCCTTGATCAAATTCCTAAACTTTGCCTAGTCCCAGACTGCCGCACTTTGCTGCCGTGGCCGAGCAATCACCCAGAACGAGCCGCAGACTTGATTATAAGTCGACCCCCCCCCCCCACATTGCATATCAGCAAAAAAAAAAAATAATCTTTAGATGCGCATGTGGCGGCCTCCGCCATATATTTTATCTCAGACGTCAAGGCGCTCCGTCTCCGCCATATGTTAATCTCGGACGTCGAGGCACCCTAGCGCGCTCCATCTGGTTCTCCGGTGCGCATTCGAGTAAACACTTCGGCGCACCGGCCGGGCTCAAGGGTCAGGTTTCTTCCCTCCGTGCGCAGTCGGCACAGTTGTCTTCAGACGGATAATAAAACCACAGAACCAATTTGTACAATCACGGAGTCGGACGTTTTTTCCTTCGCGTCCTCAAAATCTCGGAACACATCCCTACAAATTGGTGACCCCAGATGAGCGACTCCTTCATGGTTCCCGGCAATTTTCCAACCATTTCCGAAAGCAAACAGTCTGCTGCTGGGGACACCATTCCGACGGGATCTTTAGCGGCAATTCGAATCAAGCTGCCTCCATTTCAGACGAAGAACGCCAAGGTATGGTTTGCGCAGGTTGAGGCGCAATTTCTGCTGCATCGCATCACCTCGCAAGCGACTAAATATCTTCACGTCGTCTCCTCGCTGCCAGCTGAAGTCGCCGATGAACTAGAGGACATCCTCGCGGCGGCGCCGACATCCAACCAGTATGACAACCTCAAGGCCGCTATCCTCGCCCGGAAGACCACGTCGGAGCGCAGCTGCCTCCAGCATCTCCTCAACATGAAGGAGCTTGGTAACCAGCGTCCCTCCCGGCTACTGCGCCGGATGCGACAACTTCTGGGCGACGCCACTTCGAATGCTGAAACATCGCTCCTCCGTGAGCTATTTCTGCAGCGCTTGCCCCACAACATGGTCGTCGTGCTCGCAGCAAGTGAGGACATGCCCCTGGAGCGCCTGGCTGATCTGGCGGATCGTGTTGCAGAATACTCCACACCCCCGGTTGTCGCCGCGGCCAGCTTTCAATCACGAGCATCGGATCCCGCAGCAGCCGCACCTTCCCAGGATATAGCGGCTCGACTCAGCCGCTTGGAAAAGACCATCCAAGACCTGCAACTGCCAGCCTTCAGCGGCCTACGGGGTGACTCTTACAAGAAGTGCCGCCACCCCACGAGAGTCGGGCGCGCCGTGCGCTGTTCACCGCCGTACATTCGGGTTAATTTGTGAATCGCTATTATTAATGCTCGTTTGCACAAATAAAAAATAATTAATTTGTAAAATGAGTGCACAAAATAGCACAGTGCTAGGGGTACGCCGAGCTGCTCATGACATTGCGGTTGTTTCGTTTTTGCCGGCGGTGGAAGGCTTTGGTTCGATTACAAGTCGACCCCCCACTTCAGATTTTTAAAAATTGAAAAAATGGTCAACCTACATTCCTGTAAATACGGTAGTCATAACAGGTACGCAATCTGTGTGTCATATGTTTGCATTTGTCCTCCTTTAAAGACATCAAAGGAAGCTGGAAATTCCTCAAAAGACTGAGACATCTATTGACATTTTTTTACAGTAAATCCAAACAGAAAACTTAATTGAACATGACATAGGCACCGAGACGGCCAGAAAAAATGACACAAAGGCAAAAGCGACACTAAAAGGTATCAACGTTTTAGTGTTTGTGCTGTTTTTGCCTGCAGTCTAAGAGTTAAGGTGATGCTCAATCTAAACCAGCTCGTTCGCGCCCTTACATTCACTTGATAAAACCTATTTGTGTCAGAAATGTTGCTAAAACCGCAAAAGAAAGAAAGTTAAGAGAGATGTGATATCAACTCTGGCCTCTGTCGCTTGAAGACAACCCGTTCCATCAAAGAAGCTGTGAACGATGTAGTCTGCATTTTTAAAACCACTGTGTTCAGAGTACTCACAGTAGAATCTCTTTAGTACCACGCATCAGAATGCTTGATATTTGTAGTGTCTTCTGTAATTTTACTAAGCTTGGACTTCTCTTAACCGTAGGGAGGTCACAGAACTTGCTGCCAATAGGGAGAAGACCGAGGGGCGGCCTAGGTTATGTCACCCCTTATAAAGAGTGGGTACTATCCCGAGTATAACACACTTCATCTTCGAAACCCTTGCAGAGAGGAAGACATACACATGCATATAGGCAAACCCACCCAAAGCATGAACAGGATAATACTGCCATCTGAATGCCTTCTTCAGGCTCAAGGGTCTTGCAACTCTTTAAGAGCCCAAAATCCACTCTGTTAAGGAGATAGGCAGTAGCTTATATGTCAGTTTAAAGACCGCCGCATCTTCATTCCACGCTCGCTGCAACACGAGATACTTGCAATGGGAAGGAGCTGAGCTCCTTTCCATTGCATCCAGCGATCGGATGCCTTTTCTCCTTTCTCTCCTCACCCTTTTCTGTAAGTTCAGCTGGTTTCCACAATCTAGGTAAGACATGAGATACTGCAGCTGATACATGAAGGCAATCAGGGCATCGGACGCTGCAAGGCAAGAGCAAGGGACGCTGTTTGGTGGCCTACTCTAAACAGCGAAATGGAGCAACTTGTGACAGCCTGCGAGCGGTGCGCCCAAACAAGAGTACAGCGCTCCTAGCCCCTCATCAGCACACCGACTCCCAGTCGTCTGTGGCAGAGACTCGGTGCGGATCTGTCCGAGCTCAAGGGGAAAAACCAAGTGCTTGTCGTGAACTATTACTCCCGCTTCCCAGAGGTCATCAGCCTGACATTGACGACGTCAACGTCCGTCATCGCAGCAGTCAAGAGTACATTCGCCCGGTTTGGGATCCCCGACGTGCTGGTATCGGACAATGGGCCGCAGTTCTCTTCGAGACAATTCGCCGAGTTCGCCCAGAGCTACGGTTTCCAGCACGTCACGAGCAGCCCACGCTACCCACAGGCGAATGGGGAAGCGGAGCGTATGGTGCGGACAATAAAAGAGCTGTTCTACAAGTCAAGAGACCCGCACATGGCCCTCCTGGTGTATCGAGACACCCCTGGAATGACCGGTTAAAGCCTGTCCCAACCATACCTCGGCAAATTCATTCATGAACTCGCTCATTCACCTTGATTCACATTCACGGCGTGAATCTGAATTGCTCTGAATGAATTCTTGAATTTGAAAACATTCATGATGTGATGGTGAATGACTTCGTGAATTTGAATGAATTCGTGATGTGATGGTGAATGAAGTCGTGAAGTCGTGATGTGATGGTGAATGATTTCGTGAATTTGAATGAATTCGTGGTGTGATGGTGAATGAAGTCGTGATGTGATGGTGAATGAAGTCATGATGTGATGGTGAATGAAGTCGTGATGTGATGGTGAATGACTTTGTGAATTTGAATGAATGCGTAATGTGATGTTGAATGAAGTCGTGATGTGATGGTGAATGACTTTGTGAATTTGAATGAATTCATGTGATGTTGAATGAAGTCGTGATGTGATGGTGAATGACTTCGTGAATTTGAATTAACCATGATGTGTTGTGATTGTGAAGGACTTCGTGAAGTCAATAGAATTCATTGTGATGTGAATGACTGAATGAATTCGTGACGTGATGGTGAATGGCTCGTGAACACAATGAATTTGGGATGTGCGAGGCTCGTAAACTTGATAAGTTTGTGATGGGAGTAATACCGTGAACTTAATTCTCGACATGATAGTGAATATGGTTATGAATTCAGAAGAAGTAGAAAACGTGCTACGCAGGTGCTTGCTTGCCTGCTGGCCGGTTGTTTTCATCCTTCACCGCAAACCACAAGAACCCATTTGACTTTAGCGGTTTGGGCACCAGTCTCGCTGCGTAGCTGTGCGCGCCTCAGCGCGGTGGCCCTTTGTCGAGCACTTCCGTAGTAACAGCTGTTTATAAGGAAAGTGCGGTTACAGCGGCAATGAAGGGGAAGGGGGGGACTAGTCGTTTCCTTTGGCACTTGACATTTAATTTTGCCGTTGTTCTTAGCGGTTCCTCGTGAATAAATTGAGCTCCTTG